ATTTTTTTATTTTTTATTTTTAACCCCTTGAAAATATCGAGAAGGGTAATTATGTAATGTTTAATGTTTGATATGATTAATTTGGAGCATTGGTTTATTGAAAATTCTTTTTAATCTTTGACTTGTTGCCTCCACTTTATGCATACATATGCTTGGCAATGGAGTTAACTTCTCCTTTTGCTGAGTTGGGACTAATTACAAGCAAAGGGGTTTTATCTTTCGATTATTAAGGTAGATCTTGCTTTAATTATTCATGCTTTAACTTTAAAATCAACTATAAGTTTAAAGTATAAATCTTTATAGATATAGATGCGACATTTTGCCTTCAAATTCTTAGATCATTAAGAGCAATGACAAAATTACATACATACAACCCAAAATCTATCTATTTGCAAAACTAACATCCATTCTAATTATTTTATTGAACCATTAAAGATGTGTGGTTACATCATGAATATCGATACTTGAATGATAATTTGAAAATTGGTTATATGATAAAGTGTTAGTTTTATAAACAATTAAGGTTTAGAATGTAATTAATGCATTCCTATGCTTACAATTATATATATATATATATATATATATATATATAAATATATTCTATAAATTCATTTCAAATTATGGTAGTATTAGACAAGGTTAACGTAGAAGGTAAATAGTTAAAAATGCTTCTCTAAAGCGCAATTGTTCTTCAAGCAAATGTAACTTTAGGGCCAATTCATATAACTAATAATTTCTCATACAATGATTTATGACCTTCTTAGATGCTGATTGAAATATTAATTAATTATAATGATTGGACATTTCTTTCCGTATCTAAATGTTCAATGCTTGAAACTCACCTACCTAAAATAAATAAAATTAATTTATTAAAAAAAACATATTATATCATCACATAATTCCAAAAGAAGTCATAGTATTTATTATTATTTTTTATTTTTGGCCTTTAATTTTCAAATTGATTTTGCAAAAATAATTTGTCCGGAAATAATAGTTAATATGTAGATGTGTATATACATAGGAATTGGTCCCTAAAAATTCAAAATTCATAGTAAAGCCCCAACCCATTTCGGATGGTCCCCAAAAGTTTTGAGGTGCATTTAGATACATGCCATATAAATCTTATGTATTTACATGATCTAATATAAACTTTGTATTTACATATGAAACGCTTAAATTTTTAATGTAATTATAACACAGAAAATATCGTCATGATAAACTTTCAAGTGAAATAAATTTTTTTATGATTTATGACGCCAAAATATTAAAAATATAAATATCAAAATTTAAGTGTTCGCGATATAAATGTGAAGAAATTATGGGGTATTTAGATGCAGTGCATCTGAAAATTAGTGTAATAATACAAAGCAACCAAATTATTGAAATTCATGGTAAAACCAAACTCATATCTTTCATTTTTATCAAATTCATAATGATTTGTTGGTTCAAGAAAATGACATTGATAATAAATTTTTAAATATCAATGTTTCCGATGACATGCATGTAATTATCTTTTATTTTAGGGTCTGTTTGGGGAGGTGGTGTGGTAGTGGTGCAACACCGTACTTTTGTTTTGTCTGTTTTGGAAAATTGTGTTTTGACAACTTTCTAAAAAAAGATGCAGCTAAAATCTGTATTTCCCCACCACTCGTGGCTATGTGAGGTGAAAACTTTCTAGCTGCGACCTGACTTAAGAAATATATATATATTAACTATTATAACTTTTTGAGTATTAAATTATTATTCAACAAATTCACAGTTAATTTTTAGCTAGCTACTAGCTTCCCCATTTTTGAGTTCACAATTAGTTGGATTTTCTATAGGCTAGGCTCTGACCCATAAGTTGCCAAATAGGGCTGCTGCATATGGGCTTCCGCTTGTTAACTTGGGCTGAAATGGCCCAAACAATGGTTGTTCTAACAAGTTCATCAGGTAGAAATGTATTGGTTAACGTTCAAATGAAATAATTGCCCTCATTTCTTAGTTATAAATGAAGTCATATTGCTTATTAAGTATTATCAAACTGACACCACTGTAAACTATTTTATGAAATTAGCAAACCTCCCATTTGAGAAAACAATCGTGGATTTGTCTTTATTTGATAAAATAGCATCGCCCAAAATTATTTCAAAAAACTATAATTTTTCGTCATTTTAGATCGCATATGACTGTCCGTTTTCATGAACGTGGCTAACTCAATATTTTAAATAATGATAAATTGTTAAGGCTATTTACATACATAGCACACAATTCTTATGTATTTACAAATCTCACATTAAAACTTCATCATTTACACACATATAGGGCTGTCAATTTGGCTCGTTGTTCGTGAACAGCTCGTGTTCGGCTCGTT